TTGCTCAATTTTGACATTTTAGATGATTCTTAACAGCAGGCTGTAAAATTCGAAGCCAGATTTTTTTGTTTCTCTTAACTGTCTTCATCACAGAGTTTAGCTAACAAATAACAAGCAGATTTCACCGCCTAAATAAATGACCTGTGGCTTTATTGTTTATCCGGAGGAGTTTCTGATATTTCTTTGGTTAATCCCAGCATAAAAAACCCCACTGTCCTGTAGACGGATACACCGAGCTAATCCGTTTGTCTGGTTTTGTGCGTTCCAGTGGCTTAATCACTCCCGGAGGCATCTCCTCAGTACCAGCCGGCATGGAGACTCCAGAGCTGATCGAGCTGAGGAAGAAGAAGATTGAGGAAGCCATGGACGGGTGAGTGTCACTGCTACGCTGCTGTTTTAATTTCGTGTCACCTTTTTCATTTATTTATTTGTTTTCATGAATGCATTTCCAGTGGTAATGTCGACTTGCTCAAGGCAAACAATGTTTCACTGCCTGGTTTTTAAAGTGTCCCAAACTAAAGAATAAACTGGCTCTTTGGGAATTACTGGGAATTAATAGGGCTGAACAATATTACCATAAAGTGCAATATGCAATAATGTTGACTTGTAATGAACACTAAAGGAATAACGTGACTTAAAATAAATACTGGATGGCATCACCGTCTTTCTGCATTAAAACTCCTAGCTGCTAGATCACTCTGTGCTGCCTTCATGTATGTACTATTTTGACAATTCACATTGCAAATAATCATTTTTCAATACGTTTTTTTTGTTCACTGAAATGACTTGTTATACATTAGTCACATCAGCAGCTGATTCATCTTTTTCCATTGCACTGTTTGATGTAGCGCTAAATCTTCTAAAAGCATTTTTGTATTCACCAAATAAAAATAGAATATTTTTAAGAAAATATTTTTTAAATTGTCAAATGGAATTAGTTACTACAGTGCCTTACAAAGGTATTCATATACCTTGAACTGTATTGCAAAACCAGAAACTTCAATGTTCTTTATTGATAGACCAACATAAAAGTAGCGCATATTTGTGAAGCAAAGCGTTCCCACAGCATAACACTGCCATCAACAGTGTTTAGTGTTAGTTTTCTAACACGTCGTAACCACAAACTTTATTGCATTTTGCATATATTTTAATGTCTGCATAAAGTGATTCGTTTTGTTAGAATGTAAGTAAAATGTTTGTTTTTTTATAACTGAGATTCTGAAAAGTGTGGCTTGCTTTTGCATTCTCCCCCTGCCCCAAAAAAGAGTTGGGAGAATACAAAACATCTCTTAAATGTATCCTAGTATGTGACTATACCATGACGTAGGGGAGGGAAGTTTTAAGAGAGTTGAATATTTTTGCAAGTCACAGCAATAAGTCAAAAACCTGTTTTGTTTTGTAGAAACGAGACACCACAGCTTTTCACCGTTCTACCAGAGAGACGAACTGGGGCTGTAGGAGCGGCCATGATGGCCTCGACGCACATCTACGACATGCAGGGGGTGAGACGCCATGGATTTCAGAACAAAATCTAAATGTCCTCCCGCCTTATTTGGTTGAGAAATTCATCTTATGTCATTTTCTTTATGGGGAAAAAAAAAAACAAATCTTACTTTCTGTCGCTTCCAGGTTGGACGCAAAACCGGTGGAGGGCAGGAGTCGCAGGGTGTGGAGGTGGCTCTGGCCCCTGAAGAGTTGGAGCTCGACCCGATGGCCATGACTCAGAAATACGAGGAGCATGTCAGAGAGCAGCAGGCCCAGGTGGAGAAGGAGGACTTCAGCGACATGGTGGCCGAGCACGCCGCCAAGCAAAAGGTCCATAAACTGTTTTTATTTTATTTATTTTTACATCATGGTGGACTTTGATTAATAGCCCCCCGCTTCCGCCTCTCACCTCTTTTTGTTTCTAAACAGCAAAAGAAGCGGAAGGCCCAGCCGCAGGACACACGAGGCGGTGCCAAGAAGTACAAAGAGTTCAAGTTCTAGAGAAAGGCCAAGAGCAGGCACCGCACTGCACTGAGCCGGCCGCGGCAGGATGTGAAACGGAGAGAGACGTGATCCGGTTTCAGTGTCAGAGGATGTACACAACAGCACCAATCAACTGTTTAGATCAGTACCGGCTTTTCGTTCCCCTTTTCTTAAGAAGTATGCATCAACAACGTCGTCTGGCAACATGTCATGTAATTCGTGTCATGTGCATTTCCTGTTTAACTTGTACTTTTTATGTCTATTGGGCTATTTTTCCACCATTTTGGTTTGTTTTTTCCTTCAGTTTTTTTTCTTTTTTTTTTGTAAATAAATGATGTGATGTCACAAACATCGACATTTCACTAATCGTCACTTTTGGGATATATTTTGTATGTTTAGCCAAGAACTCTTCAACCTTTACCATCCTTATTTTTAATCTTTTTTTTTTTTCATATTTATACCCTCAATCCAACTGAATACAATTTATAGACACACGTTACATAACCGTTTGAAAACGGATAACTTGTCTTTTTTAAAATGATTTACAATAGTTTTTAAAGAACTTACACTGTATGGGGAGAAGGGACTTAATGTTAATATTCAAAGCAACTTCAATATCTCAATAAGAACCTAAAGTTTGCTTATTAGGTTTGTTGTAGCTGAGTGTTGCGATTATAACCATTTACCTGAAGCTCCTATGGTTTCTATGAAGGGAAAATAAGGCCAAATCTGTAAGGGGAGCAAATACAATAATTGTTCATCTCTAACATAATACCTAATCATCCGATAACAGATTAATACATTTTTTAGGGCTCTCGTGGAATCGCTATGAAAAACAGCATCTGAAAGTCAAGAGTCACCACAAGCTGCATGCAGTGTTTGCTCCCTCCGCCTGGTGGCAGCAGAGTACTCTGAACTTGGCGGTCACGTGCCCCGGCCTGGGAAGCACAGTGACCTACATAAGTGGAGCAGCTACATGTTGACTCGGTCACTGGTGCAAGTGCACACACGCAGAGCTTCAGCCTTGCTCGGAAACACGCGCGTTGTACCTTCCTGAAATGGGCTGCGACATTTCCCCATAGTGCCATACAGTGTAGCTGATGGATTATAACTATAACTGCGTCAGCTGCCGTCGCTGTTACAGGGATTGGAGCTGTGAAATGTCACTTAGTGCACTTGAAAGGTGCCTGTTTCAGATTTTTTTCACTGAAATTCAAATTTTGTTGGTGCATTATTTGCACAAACACCAAAAGAAATCTAACCATCTCATCCAATACGATCGTCCCTAGAATGAAGTCTACATATTGCAACTGCATGACTTTTGATCTATTTTTTTAAGTGAATATTTTTTGCTGACTAAAGACACAGCAAAGATGTATTTTGACTGTCTGTGTACTTTCACTTGATGACTGTGCAGATCTGAAGCGCTGCATATAATTTGGCCCAGGATTATCCCGTGACCATGTTTTAATCTGCTTGAGTCTAATCTGTTTATCAGTGGCAGCCACTTCTGGGAGTGAGAAAAGCATGTTAAAAGGAGCAGTGGGAAGAATGTGCTTAAGCTCATTCATGTCGCTTTCACCTAAATCAAAAGACTTGCGCATTGTTCACTGAGCAAAACTCAAAACAGGTGAATTTACCTGGATTAAGTGGGATTCCCAAGAAGTGGGAAAACAGAGGTTTGAATTTTTCCCATTTTTACAAAGAAATTATTCCTCAAGCTTATGTATATTAATACGACAAGTAATGTTTGGAAATGCTAAGGTGCAGGCTCCGAGTTGCAACATTTTTTTTTTTAAATTACATGTCTAATGCATGGACCTGACCCAGAACTTTGTCATCACCATGTGACAAAAATAAATATAAAATTATTCTTACTGGCCCTATGGGTGATATTTTTACTGAGTTTTACAGACAAAATGCTTCTCAAGAAGCACAAGAAATATTATTTAAAACAAAAAGCAGCATAAAGTCCATCTGAAGGAGTCGACAGTGCATGACGGAGTTTACGCAGAACTGAAGGTGGTTGACAAACCAGTGAGTAAAAAAGAAATACTTGATACATGTGAAGTAGTGCCATTTATGCAAAACACATCAAAATGAATGAACTGCACACTTAACCAAACAACACATAATGGGTCATTTGGGGGGGAGGGGAATCGCAATTGATCTTTACATTGTTATGCTAATAAATAATACATCTAGAGTAGATGTTTAACAATTTGCAATCATCTTCCTTTATATTGTTTTGGGTGTTTAAATATGCAGCATCTGGTTGTCAGGCCTTCATTATGACTGCATCCAGGAACACATAGGAGGCTGATGTAAGCTCTCTGATCACAGCTGTGATAATCTGCTGAGCCGATGGCAGACGGCCACATGTGACGAAGCCTGCGACGTTGTCATTAGGTCACCTTCTGATTCATAATCAGATTCCGAGGCTGTAGTCAGAGCCACGCCTTTGTCACCTGAGGGCTGAACTGCTGCACCTGATTTTAAAGCTGCACGGGGCTGAGCAGGTCATTCTGGGGCAAACAAGAAGCAGTGTGAGATGTTTTTTTTTTGTTGTTGTTTTGTTTCTTTTATGTTAATTGATCAGTAAGAGCCAAGCTAAAATTTCCCCTATCTGTCCACAAGTATGGAATTCCCTTCATGTCTTAATGTCATATCTCATAGCCAATAGGAAACTACAACACAACTTTGAAATGACCTGCAAGCACAAGACTTCTTCAACTAACCTGTTTTGCACCTCTTACTTCGAGCTAACTGTGTGACTAATGGGAATCTTCCCAGCAACACTAAAGCAAGTGAGCAATTAAGGCCTACAGTAGAACTGTTTCCCCATACTGATCAAAAGGAAAGTGCTAAAGTGATTCTTTTTCTTGTGGCTTACCTTTAATAACATAAAATACAAATACAAAGGGATATTATATGTATGTATGTATGTATGTAGATGGGGCGGGTAGTTTAGTCAGACAATAACACCATGGAGGCTTTCTATTGGTCAGTTCCTCTGTAGTGGGTCTCGTGCTCTGAGAGCCGCGTTCCTTCCCCTGACTGAAGAGGCGTTGTTCCTCTTGGTTTCTGCTCACTCTGCGACTTCACCGACACAAATTTCCGCTTCCTGCACCGACGAAAAACACCCGGAGCAGAGCGCACACGGAGCCGCCGCGAAGTTTCAGCGAGGACGGGGACGGCAAGGCTTTCGCTCTCCCCGCTCTCGGGCACAAACTCGGCCAACCGTCGGGCATGTTTCACACGGTTTGCCGTTGATCAGCGCCACACGGAGCAACTTTCCGTTAGCGCTCGCGAGCGTTGACCCGTCCGCTGCAGTTGGAGGTTGAATCGTTTTGAGGACCCCGCGAAGGAAGGAAGGAAGGACCGACGCTCTCACGAAGGAGGACTCATTCGGGTGGCTACCCCACCGCTATCGTTACACACGACTGAAAGAGCCCCCATTTTTCAGCCTCCAGGATGTCGGAGCGAGGAGGGCTCCCGCGGACTGGGGGCGTCCCTTCGCCGCACATGCAGCCCTCCAAGCCGGTCAGCATCACCTCCAACCGGCCCGTCCATATGAACCTCTACGCCACCTGGGAGGTCGACCGGTCCTCGCCCAGCTGCGTGCCGAGGTATGCGAAAAATGGGGCGGCGGGTGGAGGTGGTGGTGGGGACCGAAAGCCGAGCAATGACTTGTCGTTTTCTGCGCTGGCTGTGAATGGGAAATGAGCCAGACTGTGTTTACACTGGAGGGTCGCAAATACGCAAACACACCAGGGGTTGTTTAGTGTAGAGAGCCACATTTTTGGATTTATGGCTGTTGCTGTTTGTAGAGTTAACCTTTCGGCTCAAATTAAAAGGAAACCACTCCTGCACTTTTTTAATGTACCTGGCGACCACCGATTCTTCTGTAAAATAAAAATAATAATAATCACATGCCCGGTAGCATTTACAGCCTCGTGGCTAAAGATAACACGAACAGGCATGTTTCCTGCCTATCTTTTATCTCAATATGATTGTGCAGTGGGGGCAGCTGCAACGGTTTTTTTTTCCTAAGCCACTCTTCAGTTTACCACACGTTTGATCCCTGCAGACACAAAAGAAATGAACACTTCTTCGCTGTGCAACTGTTTAGAGGCAGTAAATACACAGCTGGAACACAGACTGGTGGCTTGTGGTAAACAAAGAAGAGCTAAAATTATTTGAGATGGCATGTTTTCAACAGATTGTCTGCCCTTCTACCACATGGTGATTATAGGCAGCAGTGGCTCTATTTGATTTTTGTGAGTGGGTGTGGGTGTGTGTGTGTGACCATAAGGGCAATGCAGCAAGGTCACACTGGAAGACGAGACACCTTCTCCCACCTAAGCTCACTCCCAGACAACAGTCTGAATGAGGTTGCTTTGTTTGAGGGAACGTGGTCCAGCGTCCGTCTCTCAATGGAAATCTTCTGCTTTTGCACTTTTTTGTGTGAGCTGTAAAAAGATGCATTAGATTGATGCTCTGTGGTTTGACCCATATTCACAACGCCTCATCGATAGCCTTGCACCACAAATTGGGATTTAATTCAAGGTCTGGGGTGCCGTGTAATCGAAATGCTGCTGTGCTGTTGGTGGACAGATGGTTATGGATTTAATGTCAACTTCAAGCTTTAATGCACATACAAACTCGTCATAAATTATCTATAGATTTGTCAAAATCTATACTAATGAAGCACTGATCACCAATCTAATTTTTGTGTATTACTTTGAGAACAGGGCAGAGGTAGGAATTGGCCAGTTTTTCCTTTATGAGCTGATGAAAACAGTGTTTTGTTTTAGTTAAATTCATCACACTGAATGTAAAATTCTAGTATTTTCATTTCATCAACATGCCATAGAGCAGAATGTACTCCAATACGTATCTCTTGGTATCTGCTGGACGATAAATTGTCCCAGAAGTTATTGCGATTAACGATAATGTTGTTTTGAGACCATTTTCAAGTAATATAATGGTAATGCTGTAATAATGCAGGACTACATTCTCAAAAATCAATAAACTTTAAGTTCATATCCAAAGTAAATAAACAAACAACAACAAATAAAGTGAATAATGAAGTCTGTGAACAAAGCTGTCCTTCAAAAAGGGGGCGAGATGAGATCAACACACCGAACTGAAGGTCAGTTTTAGTGGAAGGAGTGAGTGAACAGAGAAAAATGGAAGTTTCCCAAGTAAATTAACAACATAACTGAAACAAAAATAAAATAGATACTGAAGTCTCAAAACAAAATGGCTCTTTTGCAAATGAGCTAGTTGAGACCAGACTGAAGACTTTGTTGTCCAGTTCTTGGTGGAAGAAGAGGCATGAGAAAAACAATCAAGCAAATTAAAATTATGAAGCCCGTTTTAATTTATCATTCAATTAATTGCTTTATGTCTTATTACAACAGCCTTTCTGGTATGCTTATTTTCAGTAGTTTTTTTTTTTTATTGTTGTTTTAAGTCTTTTGGATTTACGGTAAGACATAACCACAACATTTGGTCACTTTTCTTTATTTTTTACGACTCAGTCGGTGATGGATCAAAACAATTTGTGGATCTTCCCTAGTCACAAACCCAGAAGTCATTATTGGTTAGGAAGAGGCAGATCTTTGCATTTTTAATGAACATCACTGGAAATGTTTGTTTCTGTTCTTCCTGTCATTTATTGTTTACACAAAAAGAGGAGGCGACGTCACACTGTGTGTGTGAGAGAGAGCAGATTCTGTAAAAGGGAAGTTTTACAACTTGACAACAAAGGTAAAATAATAGTGGAGTTGACATTTTACGGCTTTTAAGCATCTGACAGTAGCAGTTAGTGCGGTTAGCATTACTAATTTTAAACGTCGGTCTTGCATTGTTGGTTTTCTTCCCCCAGAACCAACTTCCACATAAAACAAAAACAAAAAACCCAGTGTTGCTCTCAGTGCGGCCTGTTAACTTTTAGCTGCAGTGACTTTACTGATGGGTGATAGAGATTGGATGTTTGAGTTTCTGATTGTCTGGGCAAGTTCAAAATTGTCCAGATAACTTATTGCTGTAAACCAGGTCTTCAAACTTCCACAAGCACATACTTCCTTTATAAAATGTTCCTTTTTCAGTGGTGCCTCCACATGTGGAGGCAGGCACTGATGTTTAGGTGATTGGAGTGAAGTGAAAGTCAAGTGGGAATACCAATGGCATTTAAATGCACCGCATTCATTATCACCCTAAAGGGTAATGTTGACTCGTTAATGTTGCTTTTCTAGCTTGCTTTGAACCATTAAGTGTGTTTGAGACACATCCTCTAGGGTGTGTTTTTGCTTTTTAGCAAAATGCGTGTGTGTTTGTCCGTGTTCTACACGTGAATAACTCATGCATCATTCTATGTGCATCTTAAACACATAGTTCCTCACCTATTTTCTTTTTGTAGACAGTTTATCCTTTAAGTAGATGTGCAAATGAAAACAGCTGGCTTGGAATATGTTGTGCCCTAAAACTGGATTACAAAATGTTGTGTTTTCTTTGGGAGCTTTTCCCTGCAGTCGCCACGGTCCGTCAAATAACTTTGATTCGGCTGTGGTTGCAGCTACGCAGCGACTCAGTCAGGAAAAAGAAAAAGAAAATGGAGTTTGGAGAGAAATGGAGACAGGGACGGGAGGAGAAGCAGTCTCTGTCATCTGCATTTAAATAGGATTTCTCACAGACATAGGCTGCAGAAACAGCTACAGAAACATTGCTGCCAGCATTGAAATAACGTGCATCCAAATCAGATGTTGTGATAGATTTCTGTAAGCATTTTAACTTTCTTGTCGCTTCATCTTTGCTGCTGCAGCGAATACTGACAGCTCCCCTCCTATTCGGTCGAGGTGTTGTTGCTCAAACCTCTTCCTGCCTACCCAAAATGCCACTTGGTATGTTGTTTACGCTGTGCTGTAGGCTGAAATTTCCCTCACAGGCACAAACATGTATTCAGCTGCCTCCTCAAAATCCACACTCCTAAAAGAAACTGGGGGAAAAGAACCAGCAAAAAAAGTATCTACACATAACTGTTTTCCTTTTGTTGTTTTGGTTTTATTTTTTTATTTATTTATTTTTTTTCCTTTTATCAAATCAACAGGAAATATCTCACAGCGGGAGATAATATCATCATTCCACAAAGAATGAGCAAACCTCCAGTGTTTGTTTTGCAGGTGATCTAGAAACGATTATTACAACGCATCTCCATCCGAGGTCATTTCCCTGATCAGAAGTCCCAACCTGTTTTTTTTCTGTCTCCCAAAAACAGCAGAGGGGATTGCTTCTCTGGCTTCATTCTTTAAGTTTTAGAGAAGCGATTGGCGATTCTTCTTCTTGGTGTCTGCTTTTCCATTCTGCAGTGTCACAATCACGCACTCTCGCACGCATCGAGTAGTGCTTGGCATCCGTCTTCCTTACTCAGCTCATTGGTTCGCGTCCCTCACCTCAGGCGGCGAATTCTCTGCAGCCAAATAATCCAAGGGATGAGCAGAGAAACTCTGCTCCCCAGTTTGATGCTTCACCTCACAAATATATAGAGAGAGCAAAGATTAGCAGTTTTTCGGATGTGCTTCCTGCCAGGCAGAATGTCGACTGTAGCAGTTGCTGCCACATGGTTCGGATTCCTGAATCCAACAGCGTTTACTTTAGCTCTGCTACGTTGTGCTGATGCTCTGCATCGGGTATGTCAGGAATGAACCCAGGAGCAGAACTCATCACCGTCCAGCTTCAAAAACGGTTTCTGTGGAACAACAACAAGAAAAACAAAGCTGAAGGAAGATTCCTGCGAATTAAATCCAGAGATGAAAACTGAAACTTTGTTTTGTTCAACCATTCGGTGGCCAATTAGACAAGAATTTTGCATTTCTGATAAAAAGGAAGGACAGTTGCTAATTTACACATTTATTTCTTGCCTTATTAGAATAAAGAAACATGTTTGTTTTTTTTCTGTCCGTTTAAAACATTCAATACGGTAAGGCGCCTTCAGCTATAATGTTGCTACACACTTCCTGTCATCCGACTGAAAGACAGTCATTTACAAGAAGGATAAATTCAGCTGTTAGGAAATATTTCTGGTCTAAGAAAAATAAACACAGACATTCATGGTGGAAAAACTACAGCAGCAGCATCTCCCCTTCACTGTTAAGATGAAAATGTTTTCAAACGCTACAGCGAATATGTCTGTCAGGTAGCCGACTGCATGGTGTCCAGCTGAACAGAAGGCCTGTTAATTTATTCTGCTAATGCCATACACTCCCAGTGTTCCTCTATGAAGAGCAGAACAGTAAATAGGCCTATGCGCATAGGGAACTTCAGATGTAGATTTACTATTAATATTTTCCATCATCAGATTGAATAATTGTTGTTTTATTGTATTAATTAGAGATAAGCAGATTTATTATACTACATTTGCAGTGAAACCTTCTTTTATTTATGTCATGGGTCTCACACTGGCCCATACCTCCTCAGATATTGGAATCAGTGGTTCAACCCTTTCAGACTGGGATCTGATAGAAGAAATGAACCAGCTAACTTTGGGTATATTTAAAGAACAAGGAAGCAACTTAGTTCAATCTTCTTTATGAAGAAGTTTGTCAGCATTTAAAAAAAAAATACA